GAGCTGGAGAATGAAATGGCAAACCACTCCAGTATCTCTGCCAACCCCAAAAGGAGTCACAGAGAGTCAGATAGAAGTGAAACAACTCTGAACAATACTGTCAGCAGTGATCTAACTTTTCTTTGATTCTCTTTTTTTCCCAACATGATTTTTAAAAGCCCTTTCTGGTATCCTTGTTATTCACCTCCAGACTCAGCTCATTCTGAATTTTGAGTTCTTCTGACAATAAGAAATAAGGCTGGGATGGTAGAATGCTATCATATTGTAGAGGGCCCTGAACACCAGGCAAAATTGTTTGATCTTCATTAAATACTTCAGTGATTGTAATGTTGTGATAGGTGATATACACAATGTTAAGTACACAGAGCCTCCTTCTCTAGCAGCTGTAAATTCCTATCTTTACCTGTCACTCTTGAATAACAACAATCTTTCATATCTGTAGAGCGTTTAACTTCTTGAAACACATTCATTGAGGTAGCTAGGTGAATCCATAGTGCACAGAGCTCTGGGCCTGGAGTCAGAAGACCAGACTTCAAATCCAGCCTCAGATACTTCCTAGCTGTGTGAGTCTGGGCAAGTCACAACCTCCATTTCCTCTGATTTCTTCATTTGTAGAATGGGAATAATAGCACCTACTTCCCAGGGTTGTTGAGAAGATCGAGTAAGATAATAACTATAAAGCACGTAGTAAGTGCTATATATCAATGTCAGTTATTATTTGTCATTATTATTATTATTTTTCATGCTTCCCATCTCATGGGATCTCTCACAGCCTTCTGTAGCAGATGAGGAAGAACTACATCCTCCATTTTAGAGATGAGAAAACTGAGGCTTGGAGAAGTTAAGTGATTTTCCCACCGGCACACAATGAGTTTGGAGCACAGCCAGAACTTGAATCCAGGTCCCCTGACCCAGGTTGGCCCATTGCACTTTACACATTCTCTGTCCCAATAAAACAGACACACAAGCTTCCTCTTTTCCCTGGTCTCCCATCTTGTATTTTCTCCTAGGAAACAGAAACTGCAGAGTCAATACATGACTGTTCACTCTGGCTCTGCCCTGACCCCTGAGCATTGGGAATCAAGGCAGCTGCTTTTTTCAGTGCCCTGGGCTTACTTGTCAATTGATTACAGAAGCAAAGATTTATTGCTGCAAGGGAAGATGGAAGGAAGGAAGGGAGGGAGGGAGAGGGGAAGGGAAGAAAAATGGAAGAAAGGGAAAGAAGAAGAGAGGAGGAAGGATGGAAGGGAGGGAGAAAGGGAGGGAAGGAGAAAGGAAAGGAAAGAGAAAGGGATGGAGGGAGGAAGGGAGGGAGGGAGAGAAAAAGGGAAGAAGAAATGGAAGAGAAAAAAGGAAGGAAGGAAGGAAATGAGAGAGGAAGAGAGAGAGGGAGGGAAGAAGGAAGGAAAGAATTATTTATTAAGCATTTCCTATATGCCAGGCACTGTGCTAAGTACTTTACAAATGTTATCTCATTTGATCTTCACAGAAACCCTGAGAGCTAAGTATTATTATTATTATCCCTATTTTAAAGTTGAGGAAACCAAGGCATTTAATTTAGGTTAAGTGACTTGCCCAGGATCACAGTAATTGTTTCAGGCTTTATTTGAACTCAAGTCTTCCTGACTCCAGGTCCAACACTATATCCACTGCACTACTTAGCTGCTTCTAGGTACTTCGGAGGGCATTGAGTCTAACCCTCTCATTTTAGAAATGAGGAAACTGAGGCTGAGAAAAATTAAGTGACTTGCACAGGGTCACACAGTTAAGTAAGTGATTGAGGCAACATCTGAATTCATGTCTTCTTGACTCCAAGCCCTGTGTTTTGTCCACTTTACCACCCAGCTGTCAACAAGATAGTATATTAGCTTATATTTCTATCAGCTTATCTGATCCTTATAATGCTCCTGAGAATCCAGCCAATCAGTTATCATCCTCTGCTCATGTTTCAAATGAGCAAACTGAGGCTGAAAGAGGGACAGAGACTTACTCAAGGTCAAACAACAAATCAGTGGTAGAATTGTGTCTGGAACTCGGCTCTCCCCTCTCCAGAGTCCAGGGCTTCTATGCATTGTATCTCCCAGCCTCTCTTATATGGCAGTTATTCCAAATATACTTTTTTTTTTTGGTAAGGCAGTCAGGGTTTAAGTGACTTGCCCAGGGTCACACAGCTTATAAGTTTCAAGTGTCCCAAATATACTTTTAAAGTATATTTAAATTAAATTTCAGCATTCAGAACACCAAGCTAAGGGCAGGGGGAGATAGGAAGTTTGTCGTCAAGGAGCTTCCAGTCTAGTAAGGTGGGGATATGGCACATAAAATTAGCATTACAGTTTTCTAAAAGTGCATAAAAGAGCTACCAGAGGTTGTGTGAGATCTGGGGAAGAGGGGAGGTCATTACTGATCAAAAGGATCAGGGAAGGCTCCCTGGAGAAGGTAGTATTTGAGTTAAGGACAGATAGGAGGGAGAGAGGAGGCACAGAATTTTGACAGTCAGCATTTGTACAGGGGACAGCAAACAGTCCAGTTTGACTGGAACATGGAGTTCCTGAAGGAAATGTCAGACCAAGTGTGAGCTTTTCTCATTAGGAAGCCTTTGAAGCAGAGGCAGGACAAGAACAGATTTCTGCATAAGGAATATGAGTCTGACGTTAGTGTCCTACCCTGCTCTTTTCCCTTTGTGTGTTTGTGTATGGATATGCCAATTTAGCACCATTTCAGAGCTCTCTCTTAGTGCCTACTCCCTTTTTATGGGCTAATCACCCATAATCACGGTGCACACTCAGTACTCTGACTTTTCAAAGTTCTCAGTCACACACAAAATGTAATTACTAATTCAACTGAAAATGAGACACACCTCCCCCTTCTCAGTAAAGAGGTGTGGGGCTATGGATATAGAATGTGCCATACGGCTACCAGACAGTTACTGTATCAGTTGGTTTTGATAAAATGTCTTTCTTTGTTACAAACTTGGGCTCAGAGTATATGGAATTTAAGGGGAAATGACAGCTACAAAAGCAAAAGGCAACAATGAAACTGAAAACAAATCTGACTATCGATTGACAGTCAGAATCCTATGAAGGGGATAGGACAAACATTATTATCCTATTTCATCTGAAAAAAAAAAGCCCAGAGGACTTGTCTCAAGGTCACAGAGCCAATTAGTGGCAGAGCTGAGATGAGAACTCGGGTGTCCTGATTTCCAGTCCAATGATCCTTCCACTAGACCATCCTGTCAACCACCATAGATTATAGGCTGTTCTCCATGAGCTGTGAAGGTCTCACCTGAGGCCACTCCACTGATTGCATGGTCTCCTCCCTGGCCAGAACTGACCAAATGTCAGAGTGGACTGGAAACTCCCTGACTAGTTCACTGGCAGCCTTCCTTGTTTCTGAGCCTAGCTGACAACAGGCTGAGAGACACCGGTGAGGACAATCCATTGTCTTATAATCACCACGATCTGTTAGGTTAGACACCACCAGCTGAGGACCCCAGATGAGACCATTTGGGTATAATGAGGCTGAATGGGGCTGAGAGGAAGGAGATGGATAGAAGCCGGCCAGGTTTCATCAGGGTAGCTGAGCCTGCAATCTGTCTCAGCCTGGATCCTCTGGCAATCTCGACAGCGAGATGACTCGGATGGAACAGTGAAGTTCCCTGAAGTTTGAGGTGAAAGGAGGGAGCATTCAGTCAATGAACAGAAAATAAATCACTCAGCTCATAGCTTTCTTCAATTCAGACCCTGATGAGGCCTATTTCTTTAGAGTCTCTCTCCTGACCCTGGAGCATTCCTATGCTCAGGCAACTGGGAATCACAGGCAGCTTTGTCATTAAAGGATAGATTGATTATAGGCCCTGCACTTTGCTTATTTACCTCCTCACATCCTCCCTTCCCCTCCCCCTATGGCTCCTCTGGCAGATGACCAGTACCTCAGTGAAGTGACTCCATCGGCTGGTGCTAAAAATGCCTCAAGACATTTTATAGATATACATATGTGTATACACACACACACACACACACACACACACACACATATACATATATATGTGTGTGTATATATGTATATAAATCATTTTGTAAACCTCCCTCACTGTTACCAAGGCAAAACACTTTGAATCTCCCTATTTTAGTTTCTGTCCCATAAACAAGTGGCTTCTTTTTCTTAAGATGCACTAGGCTACAGAAGAAATGGGCCTAAGACATCCTGTAATCCAACATTCCTCATTTTACAGATTAGGAAACTGGGTACCAGAGGGCAGAGTCACTGGCCCAAGGTCACACAGCTAGGTAGTGACAGAACTGCCCAGCCTCCTGGCTCAAATTCAATGCTCCCCAGTATACTATACATCCCTTTCGAGGGTGATCTTCTTGTTCATCCACACTCAATATCACCTGGATGAAAATGTTCTTAGTAGGGGGAGAGGGGGCCACACAGTGGCATTTCCTTTAGGTCCACACCATTTGGGATGGCCTGAATGCTAAGAATCCTGCCCCTAGGCTGGCCTCCCTCTGTCGACACTCTTCTCTAAATGGGGCTGGAGATCATTGAGGTGGCAAAGATCATGTCACTTACCCAAGAAAATTTGGCCAAGAAGGCAGGGTGAGTGAGCCCCCTGGCCACATGAGCCCTCTAATGCCACTGGTCACCCCTTCTCTCCCAGCCACTTCAAGCCCCTTGGTTCCTAAATATGATAACCCAAAGAGTTAGTGCTCACAGAAAACATCACAACAATATTGCTTGGTCACCCCTATGTCAACTGTCAGAAATATTGTCTCTGGCAGGGGCTCCAAGGCCATGGATGACTTCTTGGATGTCCCCTCTGGAGGTTTGTTCCAAATGCCTGTATTCTTTACAACCAGTCACCCTGAGCCCCGAGATTGTGCATCACCCAATTCTACACTTATTGGACTGTTTAGGAGCAGAGAATTGAGGGGCCTTTCTCTTTCTTAGATTCTAATGCTCAGAATGGGGACTCAGAGGTCATGTTCTTCTCTTACCATGAAGCCTGGGGCACAGGTGCAGCTCCCTGTGATGCTGTGACAGTCAGCCCCATTCTGACAGGCACACACCAGCCGACAGCCTTCTCCATAGGAGCCAGCGGGACAGGACTCATTACAGTGTGGGCTGGCCCAACCTGCATGGCATGTGCAAGCTCCTGACACAGGATGGCAGCTAAGCAGGAGAGAAAGAGAGAAAGAGATGCTGTCAGGGATAAGGAAGGGATGACCATGACCCAGGCCCACTCACAAAGTGAGAGGAAGGAAGGACCATAATCTGATGGCCAGTTATCTCATGACAAATTCCTGCCAAGGCTGTACTTTGCCCAGAGTCAGGCAGAATGTACCATTCCAGTCTTAGCTCCTAGCAGCACCTTGACATAGATTTTGTTTTCTAGTTTTGCTGTACTATTTGCCATTTCTTGAATACCTCTGATTCTTTCCTACCTCTGGGCCTTTGCCCATGCTTTTCCTTCTTCCTGGAATGCTGTCCTCTTAGATCTCCAGCTTTCAAAATTCTACCCTTACCTTGAGGTCCAACTCAAATTCCACCTCCTTTATTGAGCCTTCCTTGATTCCTCCTTACCGTTCTCCACTTCAAATAGAATTTATCTCACCCTCCTCAGGACTACCGTAACCTTAAAAAAAACTTTAAAATTTCTTTACAATTTTTCACCCTCCCACCTCCTCTATCTACTGTGGGGAATAAAAGAGAAAAGAAAAAGACAGAATTCTTCTATCACATAAACAATAGTCAAGCAAAACAAATACAATGCCCATTTATATCTCTCCTATGGCACTTAGGTTCCATCTTTTTATTTGCGTGTATGTCTTATAACCTCATTTAGACTGAGGGCAGAGACTCTGGTCTCCCAATGTCTCGCACTGCACCTTGTGCAGAGTAGAGACTCAGTTAATATTTCCTGAAGGCACATCCTGCCTGACATCTCCTAGAACCAAAATTCAAACCTGGTTCTTTTGGCTTCCAGGCCCGTGTTCTTTCCACTAGAGCACAGTGCTTCCAACTGATCAGGGAAACCAAAAACAGGGGCTTCCGTTGCTTTCCTTCAAGATGTGGGGCTATAGGGCTACCCACCTCTAAGTGAGATCCCTTGACTTGCAATTGGTGGGAAAGAGTATTGGGAAGAGAAATGAATTTTAGGGCCTTAGACAGAGTCTTTACCTCCTGGATGGTCCTCAAAGATAGAATCATGGACCTAGAAATATTCTCTGGTGGGAAGAACAAGTGTTAGCCTATTCTGATCTACTGAAGAGGTATCAAACACAGGGCCTGTTGGGAGCATGGCAGCTGCAGCGCTCCTGAGTGCCCTGGAGCAGATCAAAATATCATTGGGAAATATTTAACAAAAAATATAAAAATACAATGCAACATAGACGATATTAATTTAAGGTTTTCTAAGGCAGTGTGTGGCCTACAGGGATCCTTATGTACAGTTTAGTGGCTCTGGTTTCTATTTGAGTCTTACACCATTGATCTTACTGTTTTCCATTTCTTCTAAGGTAAGACAAAAGAGGAAATGAGCTTACAGGGAATGATGAAGGATCTAGATAATAAGTAAGGTAGTAGAACTTGCTAAAAATGGTGATGGTCTCTTGAAAAGAACAGGAGAGATTTATATCAGTGTGAAGCTGGTTATGTATGTTCCTGCTTAGAGACTGGCTTTGGAATGGGGGGAGGTGTGAGAGAGACAGAGACAGAGAGACAGAGAGTGTATGGGGAGGAATAGGGATGGTGAGGAGGGATCAAGGTATGTCTGAGCACTTAGCTCTAGGATCTTCCAACCTGTTCCAGGAAAGTCCCTTAAAGTCTTATCATGGCCAATTGAAGCTGGATGTCCTCATCAAAAGGTGACTAGAGATACTGAGTAGAGATAAATCCCAGTTCCCGGGCCAGCAGACAGCACAAGAGAGATTCCCTTGGGTGGCAGGCTCAGGTCTCTTCCTGGGAATCTCAGGCAAAGCTTACAGTCATTGATATTAAGTTGGGTTCCTCTTTTGCCTGTTTTTCCATTTTCTCCAGACATCGATTAATCACAGACTAATAGGAAGTGAAAGCTAAACATTACAGGAATATTTTAACAGTAGAGTTTTGTGCAGTCTCTCCTCGATTGCACATGCTATGAGATTTTTATCAATGCTGCATCTGTTGGCTTAATCCAATCTTTCAAAGGTAATATATGATCTGGGCTGCTGGAATCCTTCCATGACAATTCAATTGTAGGGGGCACATTCAGAAGGCAGGGCTCTCTCTCTCTTTCAAGGTTGTTTTCCTGTATTAAGGGATGGCTCCTTTTCATGAAGCATAGTAAGTTTATAAAGGGCATGTAATCACTTGGAATTTTGTTGGTGATCTCTCTATTCCTAAGATGGGTGATCACAAGCCAAGGTGTCCCAGAGGACTGAGTTGGTGCCAGAATTCTGTGTGGGGAGGCCAGAGCTACTGGATTTGGGATGTTTCTGTCCTTTTTCTGGGCAATAACAGAATCTCAGGGTTGAAAGGAATCTCAGTGATTGTTCAATCCCAAATCCACCAGAACAGAAAACACTTGATATGTGGCCAATCTCCATTCAAAGTCTTCGCAAAAAGGAGAACCCACTCTCTCTAGAGGCAGTCCATTCCCCTTTTGGATGGCTCCAGTTGTTTGGAAATCTTTCTTTGTATTAAGCCCAAATCTGCCTCTGTATACTGTGCGCTTGTTTTTGCTATCTGTAGCCAAGCAGCATGAGTCGACCCCCTCTTCTATATTAGATCTCACCTCAATAAATATCCTAAGTTGTTTTTTTTTAGCTAATACTTAAATGACAAGTATTACTTGTCAAGTACCTCCCAGAACAAATGAATTCCCCTCTAGGAACCCAACACCCCTGATGGTGCAGAAGGGAGATTCAAGTTCTCTGCATCTGCAAAGCTGCCTTCATCTCTTGAGTTAAGCAGCAACCCCCTCCCCACTCCATTTCTCAGTAGCCCTTTCTTCTCATTGTGCCTAAGAGGAATGATATGACCAATTCACTGCAAAGGTAAAAACAATGAAGCACAGAGAAGGGAAAGATTTGGAGAGGGTGTTTTTCATAACTATAGAGAAAAGATACCATTTAGTCATAGCCTTGCTACTTAGGTGTGCTGGCCAGAGAAGGAACAATCCCTGGGTTAATGAGGACCTTCAGAGGTTCCCCAGTATGTTCAGACTGACAGCTGTAGACATCTCTTTCCTTACCCCTACCTCCAAATTGAAGGAGAAAGCTCTGCAGAGGGACAAGCCCCCGAAGTGGAGAGAAGGGTTGACCCGGCCCACAAAAGCCTAACCTCACACTGAGAGGTTCTGAGTCGCTCTTTGGCTCCAGAGAGGATACAGCAAAAGGGGAAATGGGAACAGTAAAACAATTTCAGCATGTTATGGACAACTTTCTGACTGTTGGGGGAGATCAAAACTTGGAAATGGGCACCCAAGGGAGGGAGAAAAATCTTTGAAAATAGGAAAGACCATGTCCTATTAGGGGGCACACCTGCCAGGAGGCAGAGAGTGGGCGGGATAAACTCAGAATAGGGAATGGTCTCTTGTGAAGTACAGGTTCGGAGGAGTTGTTAGTGTAGATACTGGCAGACACCTAGGCTAGGTGGTCCCTCCGAATCTCCAGGGGCTTCCTGCCCTTTCAGAAAAAATTGCTAACATGCCACTTGGTCCTGAAACTCAGCGTGTGTTACAGACATTAAGCCAAATAAATAATCATCAATATTAGATGAGCTGAGATTAGCAAGGGGGTGTGGTGGGTGAGGTAGGAAGGAGTCCATCCAGCTAAATAATGCATAGAGGAAAGTCCTTTACAGAAATGATAAATTATGCAGGGCAAGGTTGTGCAAGAATCAATGGGATAACAATAGCTATTTAATTTGGGGGCTTGATTGGAATATTTACAGTAGAGAGAGCATGTTCTATGTCAATGGGAGCAATTTTTCTTTTTATCCCTGAATGAGCCATCAACTCTGCCCCCACTACACTCTTTAAGGATGGGGGGGGCTGATAGTGTCCTTTTCTCTAGGAAGATACTCAGACACCCCTCATATGCCCAGCCAATCACACTATGAAGCACAGAGCCTGGGATAACATTCCCCTGTTCTCTCTGCTTTTTGGAATCCCGCCTCTCCTCTTCAAGGTTTAGATCCAAAGCTTTCTCTTTCATGAAGTCTTCCCTCATCACTCCAATCTACACTGATCTCCTCTTCCTCTGACCTGCAGCACTTATTGCCTGGACCACTCACTAGAAAAGGGTTCTTAAACTTCATGTGTGTCATGGATCCTTCTGGCAATCTGGAGAAGGCTGGGGATCCTTTCTCAGAATAATGCTTGGGTTTTTTAATTTGGAGTTTAAAGTTTTGTTTGAGATTTTATTCTTTATATTGTTTATTTACTTGGTTAAAATTAGCTAAGAATATTTTGTGTTCATTATAAAAATATTTTAAAAGAATGCACAAAAAATTTAGGGATATACAGGGTGTCCTCTGAGTGTTTCCAAGTAATCATACAAAGTAGAACAAGTGAAGCACTTAATTAGATAGCTCAGAATAATGTTTAAACACATAAAATAAAAAACACAGGATGATGAACAAAACCAATTACATTGAAGTAAAGACATAAAATTTTTCCCATCCAAGTTCATGGACACCCTGAAGTCTATCCACGGATCCCTTGGGGATCTGAGGACTCCCTGCCTTAGTCACTTAACACATGCCACTTTGCAGTGATTTTCCCCTTGTAGAATCTAAGGTCCTTGAAAGCAAGGATTCTGTCTTCTTGGTTATTTCCTTGTCTCCCACTATACTTAGCACAATGCCATTGTATTGAATAAGTGCTCAGTACATGTTTGCTGAATGACTGAAGGAACACTCAGGCTGACTCAGCAGAAGCCGTGGAGGTCAGGCATTCTGGAGTTCATCAAACCACTCTGCGGCCTTTGCCTCAATTTCCCTCAATCCTACCCAGTTCCTGCAATCAGAGACTCCTTGGCCTCTCAGAGGGATTGGGAGCATTAGTAAAAATCAAATCAAATCAACAAATATCGACTGAGTAGCCATTACTTGCAAAGCCTCTTGAAGGTGACCAATGGCTTTATGTTGATTTGAGGGCAATCAAGTAATAAAAATCAAAGGAAGTCAATACGAGGTAGGGGAAGGAGGGGAGAGCTGCTTGGGGGGCCAAGGAGGGCATCCAGCATCTTCACCGTCTTCACAAAACATCAGCAAAGACCAAACACCTGGAGCGTGGACAGCTCCCGAGCAGTTACTGCCTGCCATTCCTCTTCCACCTGTCTCAAGACAGCCGGATGCACCAAATGAAGACTGGGAGGTCCGGGAGAGGGGAGGGGAGGATGGCAGTGGTGGTGGTGACAAATTGGGATGAGGAAGGAAAGAGGTGGGCCCAGAGTCCTTCTTGCTTTTGCTGCTGTTCCTTCTTTTTGCCACAGCCTTGAGAAGACACTGACTGAGAATTATGTTTATCAATGTATGGGACGGGGGGGGGCAGTTCTGCACATTGTAGGGGCTTGATCCCTTTTTGTGGTGGAATAAATAAATGAGAGAAGCAGGGAGGGAGGAGGAGGGAAAGATGACTGGGAGGCAGCCTCAGTAACCCCTGAGTCTGAGGGAAGGAGTCATCCACCTTCAAAGCTCTTAGAAGTGAGACAATGGGAACCCCCTGTTGCTTTGTCTCTTCATCCCCCCTACAGAAAACCCCTCTGAGAGGAGTGGACCGGACATCATGGACACTGAAGAGTGAATTACATAGCACCCCCTATTACATGAAGGCTTTCCTGATCCCTCTAGACATTAGTGCTTCCTCCATTACCTTCTATTTAATTTTGTCTATATTTTCCGTATATATTTATATGTATACATGTTGAGTTCCCTTATGGAATGAAGCTTTTTTATGCTTGTTGTCCAGTCATTTCAGTTGTATCTGACTCTTCACGACCCCATTTGGGGTCTTCTTGGCAAAGATACTGGCGGGATTTGCCATTTCCTTCTCCAGCTCATTTTACAGATGAGGAAACTGAGGCAAACAGGGTTAAGTGACTTGCCCAGGGTCACACAGTTAGTAAGTGTCTGAGGCCAGATTCAAACTCAGGTCTTCCTGACTCCAGGACCAGCACTGTATCCACTGGGCCACCTAGCTGTCCTCTCATGCTTACTGATTGGTTAATTATAGGGAGTAATCCTGTCCCTCTGTCTCAGATGATCCCTCCTCTGTCACTCATATTTTTGTTCTGCCCCCCTCCAACCCTCCTATTTACACACGCTCTGGCCTACTTAGGGTTAAAGGCTCTGCTCAGGTTAGAAGTATGAGTATATGCATATGGGAATATTCTCTGACTCGTCTTCTGCGTCAGTAATGCCAGAGACCCTGGCTGCATTAGCAGCCCCCAAAGGGGAAGCTTTCTAAGCCATTTGTGGACTCAGTAGGGCCAAAGCTTGATGTGGCCACCCCAAGAAGCATGACCTGAGGTGGCTCTGACTCAAATACTGAGTACAGATCACGGGAAGCTATTGAGCAGGCCACATCTGGATGATTGTGTCCAGTTACGAGCACATTTTAAGAGGGAACCTGACAGACTGAAGCACGTCTAGAGACAAGTGAGGGATCTGAGAGGCAATTCTGAGGAACAGCTGAAGAAAACAGGGACATCTGAGCCTTAAAAAGGAGCAGGCTTAGAAGAGACACGAGAACTGCCCTTCATAAAAGAAGGCGTTGTCATATAGAAGAGGGGGTAGATTCTTCGGGGTTCATTCATGCATTCCTTCATTTGACTATTTATTGAGTGCCTGCTATACATAATGTGTTGTGCCAGTCACAGGGGATGACACTATGGGCATTAAGACATGGTCCTTGCCAGGGGGCAGAACTAAGATCAGTGGAGGAAAGTTTCAAGGAGCTAGATTTAGACTCAGTACAAATCAGGCCATTTTAACATTCAGCAAAGGAGTCAATGGACTATGTTGTGAGGTAGTGAGATTCCCATCACTGGAAGTGTTTAAACAGAGATGAGATAATCAGATGATCAGTACAATTTTGCCATTTTATAATAGTTAAAGATAAAGGACCTCTATTTTCAGGACTCATGGGGGCAGATCAGCCACAAAACCTCAACAAATGAAAGCAGGACAGATTATTATTGTTGTTTAGCTGATTAGTCATATATGACCCCATTTGTGATTTTCTTGGCAGAGATACTGGGCTGGTTTGCCATTTTCCTTCTCCAGCTCATTTTACAGATGAGGAAACTGAGGCAAACAAGGTTAAGTGACTTGCTCAGAGTCACAAAGCTAGTAAGTGTCTGAGGCTGCATTTGAACTTGGGTCCTTTGGACTCTAGGGCTAACTCACTATCCACTGCACTACCCAGCTCTACCCACCTTATTGGATCGTTCAAAGGATCATTCAAATTTTGCAGTCCATCAGCCCCCGCCTGTCCTGTTTCACAGGGCCACAGACTCATCTGATAGCATTTTCTTGAATACCCTCAGCAGGTACCATAGACCATTACAGCTCTAAAGCTGGAAGGGCCTTCACAGGCCCTCTAGTCCAGCCCTTTTGGGAGCTGGGGCCATGGGAAGTTAAGTGACTTGTCCAAGATCACACAGGCAGTTAGAATCAGAACTCAGGGCCTCTGACTTCAGAGTCGGTGAATTTTCTTTCTTTCTTTTTCTAATTAATTAACTAATTAATTTTTAGTTTTCAACATTCACCTCCATAAGCTTGTGAGTTTTAAATTTTCTCCCCCTTTCTTCCCACCTCCCTCCCCAAGACAGCATGCAATCTGATATAGGCTCTACATATACATTCCTATTAAATATATTTTCACATTAGTCATGTTGTAAAGAAGAATTAGAACCAATAGGAGGCGTCAGTGAATTTTCTGCTGTGCTCATGATGCATTCTATTGCCTCTAGACAGGACTGCTCATACCTCAGCCTGGTTACATGGGTGTGGGTGGTGCCATTCCTACTTTTAAAGAGCTTTAGGAGAAGGAAATTCCATGACTGTCATCAGCATTCTTCTGGGGGTGGGAATGGGGAGGAGTTCCCAGTACTCTCTCAGTCACACAATGTTAGAGGTGGAAGAGAATTTTAACATAATCTCTTCCCCCTTTTTCATTATTTAGATGAGAAAATGGAGGCCCAGAGAGTCATGATATTAATGCGCAAGGTCATGATATTAATAAGAGTCAGAGCTGGGGCTCCAACCTAGAAGCCTAAAAGACCAGGAATATTTCCAATTTGTCTTTGTTTGTTCACACCCGTCATTTCCTAGATCCAGATTTCTGCTACCTTAGTCCCTTCCAACTGGACAAGGATCAGCATCAACCCTGGGGCCTGGTTTCCTGGGGGTGGGTCTTACCCCCTTTCTTCAAAGCTCTTTGGCCTCTCATCATCCTTTCCCCTTGCCTTGACCCCCTTGGGAACACCTACCTGAGCGTGTTGGTGGCATTGCAGGGACAAGGCTTGGTACATTGTGGGCCATGCAGCCCCTCTGGACACAGCCGCTCCTGGCATTGGGGGCCTTTGTAGCCTGGGTCGCAGACACAGGCACCGGAGGCTGGAGAGCATTGGGCCCCGTTGTGGCAGTCACAGCGCTGGGAACACTGGAATCCAAAGGTCCCAATGGGGCACTCCTCTTGGCATCTACAGGATAACACACAGAGCAGCTGAGGTTTCCCCAAGCCTTGGTAGGAGCTAGAGGATCCCAGATTTAGACCTGGAAGGGATCTTACAGACCAAGTCCAACCCCCCTCATTTTATAGATAAGGAAAGGGAAGCCTAGAGAAATTAAATGGCTTGTCCAAGGACAGGAGAGCTAGCATCTGAGGCTGTATGGAAACCCAGGTGACTCTCAATTGTCCAGGATTTACAGAAAGCTTGGTCTTGCATTCCAAGGGGAGACATGGCACAGTGGGTTATACCAAGCTGAGTCCTCACCAACCTGGAATGTCCCCCCTGCATCTGTATGCCAGGCCATGTTTCAACCCCTCCACCCAATTTCAAAGCTAAATTCATATAACTGAGAGACCGTCACCCCCAGATCCTAGGATTACTTGGTTGTAGGGCTGGTGTTTGCCCTCTTGGCCTTGCCCTCATGGGTCTCATGCACTGGAGGACAGCCTGCCACTGCCTCTGATCTCCACTCAACATAACAATGACAGCTAACATCTATATAGAGTTCTAGGACTTGCAAGACATTGACAGACGTGAGTTCATGTGATCCTCTTGACAAGTCTGTGAGGCAGGCCCTATTATCCCCATTTTACAGAGGAGAAAATTGAAACTCAGAGAGGGTTGTCAGTTTGCCCATGGTCACACAGCTCATAAGTTTTGAAGACAGGATTCTAACCCAGGTCTCTCTGGCTTCTAAGTCCTGTACTCTCTCCATCACACCTCACTATTGTCATACCCCTTTCTCACCAGCAGGAGAGGCCAGTGATCTCAGAGACTGTTGCCTCCTCAGTAGGGCACTTTACCTCTTGCTATATTTATAAGGATGATGAAGCGCCTTATAGCATGAAGAAAAGCATCTGGAAATGAAATATTGACGACCTAATCCATTTGCATAATTAGCCTTTTTTCCTGCTAACAATTTAAACAACTTATTTATTTAGAGATCAAGCAGCTCCTACTAATGAATTTTACACAAAGCATGCTAATAATGGGGCCTCTGGAACATAAGGATAATCACAGCAGGAATTAGTTCTCTACTTAAACATCCTTCCTTTGCAACATATCAATCTAATGTGTCCAATAATGCCATTAACAACCAGATACATTGCTCAATTAAATCACAAAATGAGCTGCAAAGCCCTAGTTATGTTTCTTGTTTAATTTACATTTGTTCCTGCCTATCTGGGGAGGCCGCATTATTACACCCGCTGAACTTTAATATGCTCGGCGATGATTTGGGTTGGGTTAATGTGGCTGTCACCGGCAAAATGGATGGAGGCAATTTCACAAAATATTAAACACAAGGTGGCCCGTGTAGACGCACAAGCCAGATATCACCAGGCCTTCCCATTTTCTGCTTGAGCAGATCGATCCATGGGGCTTTCCAGAGGGCACTTAGGTTTGCTGCGGGCCCTTCCCCTGGAATTTGTCACTAGAGCATGGAGATGGGAGCCGTCTGACTTTGGAAAGTCAGATTGACTTTCGTCTTTCTCCCTCTGTGTCCACTCCTACCCTGGCTGTTTTGCCCCTTGGTTAGTTGATTGGGAAAAAACCACAAGAGCTGATATTCTTTTGGGTTAGGAAACTTGGATACTAGGTCATGGAACGGTGACACTGGGTGCAGCCACTGGGAAAGCAGGGCTGCATCTTTTTCTTTGAATGATTGGGTGGTAGTTATCCTTGTTAACGTTCTGGACTGGGACAGACCTCCCTGCTCTCACAGATTCCTGTATTCTATACTTTCCTCTCATCTTTGTGTCTTGCCCTGCTCTGTGTCTAGTGGCTCATGCCCTTTTGGGGGGAGGGTCTCAGCTCTGAGCCCCTCCAAGGACTGAGCTAAATTCCTAGGATACAGAACTGGAAGACTTCAAGGCCCGTCTAGTTTAAACCCCTCATTTTGTAGAAGTTCAGTGATCTGTCCAAGGGCACACAGGTAAGAAAGTAACAGCGCTGGAATTTGAACCTAGGTCTTTGGGTTCTTTATCAAGCACTGACTCAAGTACACTTATGTTGCTAGGGCTTTCTGGAGGCCAGATGCAAAGGAATGCCGTGCCTGTGAACACACATTCTGAAAGAAATTACAATTTTCCTAAATGATCTCAGGCTGTAGGTAAGGGCAAGATATTAAAAAAAAAAAAAAGGAAATATTTAAGCTCAAGTTGCCCCCTTACGAGCCATCACTGTAAAGATGGGCATGGGTATTAAGGCAGGAGCAAGCTAGTCTAGGGGGAAACTGAACATCACGGTGGATTTGTAGATTTTGGGGCTGGAAAGGCCTCGCTTGGCTCCTGATTCTCAACCCCAGGTGCGAGGTTGACTTTTCATCCAGTTTAGGTGTCTCTTCTGTGTGTGTGTATTCCTGATGAAGATTCCCCTTGGTCCCAGTCATAGAACCACACCCCACACCTCCCAGCAGGGCCTTCAGGACAAGCCAGCTGTATTACATCATAAATATACACAGTCTGAAGGGAAGCAGAAAATACAACCTCCAGGAAACAGAACTGTTGGCCTGAACTGTTTCTCTGAGTCAGGCCAGAATAAAAAACAGAAACAAAAACAATAAAAAAAAAAGTTTCACCTGAGGATTCCTGCTTTGCTGGGGGAGGTTGCTACTGTTTTTGTTTTGGTCTAGATCTGTGATCTTATTGTTGCAAGGAATTCACAGTATAGAAACCATCCCTACCAGTGGGCATTTGCAGCTCATCCCAGCTTAGAGTCTCAGGGAATGACTCAGGGCACTGAGTGGCTGTGATTTGTCTATAGTCACACAGCTGGAATGTATCAGAGGCAACCTCACTTGGACCCAGATTTTCCTGACTCCAAGGCCATCACTATCCACTACACTTCACTGCTTCTCTGATATGTTACAGATACATGAACAAAGTGATTGATTTCTAAAGCTAAACAGACACGACTTCTGGATTACCTGCTCATCTCCATTAACTCATATAACTGAGATCGGCTAGTTTACTCTTTTCCTTCCCCCAGGGAAAGTCACTATAAATCTTGGGTAAAGATGTTGGACTGGGTGACCTGCCACCGGCTAAAGGGAAGCCTACTTGGGAGGAGTACATACCACGTGTCTTCCGAGGAGCTTGGGAAGGGGCAGGCTGGTAAAAATCATGATCCTTATTTGCAGAGCTATTGTGAATAATGGAAAAATCAACAATCAGGACAACTGGTGTTGACTAGCCATGCAGACAACTCCTTACCTATCCCCCATGTAGCCAGCTGCACACTGGCACCGTCCCGTCACATGGTCACATTGTCCTCCATGGTGGCACGGGCAGCTCTGGCTGCAGTTGATGCCAAATGTCCCTGGCGGGCAGGGCTGGGCACACACTACTCCCTGAAACAGAGGAGAGAGAGAGAGGTTCTGTCTGACTTGTGCTGACCAAGGAACATCTGGACTACCAAGAGAAGGCATTATGTAGAAAACAAAAAGTCACTTGGATTCAGAGCTATATGCATACATGGTGCAGGTGGGCTCTGAGGCCAGTGATAGAGGTCAGCCCTCCAGTTAGATGAGGGGCGCTTAACCTTTTTTTTCTATCATGGACTCCTTTGACAATTCAATAACACTATGGACCCCTTGTTTTTAAATGCATAAAATAAAATATGTACGATTATAAAGGAAACTAATTATTTTGAAATATAGTTATCAACATTTTTAAAAATTATAGACCTCAGGTTAAGAACACATGCTAGAGATAACTGTTAAAGTTTGTATTATCCATGCAGACTCTAAGTTAACAAATGAGAAGGCCTGGCTGATGCTGGAAGGACCTAACATAATAGCCTTTATTTGGCCACTAGCTAGTATGTTTAGCATGTCCTATTTACTTTTTGACACTCTATTGTGTGGATTTTTTCCCTTTGAGAATTGGTTTCAGTGTAGATTTGTAGGAATTATTAACCACAGCCCTCCATGCAAATCTATCCTTACATACAAATATGGCTTAGGCTGCTGCTCCGGCCAATAGACCCCAGGGTGCCACTCACTAGATGAATAACCTTTGTCTATGAGACCTGGAACCTTCAATCTTAGTTTTCACCATAATCATTACAAAATGCTTTTTTATGTGTCTGGCCCTATAGTTGGTGTTATGAGAGATATAGTCAAGGGAAGGTAAAGATATGGATCTTGTCTTCAAGGACCTTTGAGCATGAGGAAAGAGAAAACATTTGGTCACTAGAGATGAGGCAAATGGTACATTATCACATTCCAAACTTTGTGGTCCATGGTCCATGGGGAACAAATAACTTCACCCTTATGGAAGCCTCAGGCAGGGGTAACCAGCACCCTATCCCCACCTGAGTGCCCATCCATCCATCTCCATTGGTAAAAGTAATTTTCCTCCTCAATATTCTAGAGAAAAGAATCTTGAGAATTACTAGCAGTCAACAAGCAATGCTCTTTTCTAGGTTAATTCTCCTGGGGTCCTGATAATTAATCCAAGAAATGAATGACTTCTTCCAACTCCCCCTTGAGATAGCAAACATCTCATGTTCATCAAGTCAGCCTCTAGCAAGGGGGAACATGCACTTTAAATGACCAGGGCTGGGATCCTCAAAGTTCCTGCTCCTCTCTGGTGGTCTGTGTCGTGGGGACATTGGGAGAATTTGTAGTCCTATAGTACTGCACCTTTAAACTCCACTTAGGATGTCAGGAAAGGCCCCAGCACAGCTATGGGACAGAGAAGGGCAGAGTGTTTCAGAACAAATACTATTAGGAGAAATGACATTTTGACTCAGGGAGAAGCAGGCAGTGAGGAGAAGAGCCTAAATAGGCAAAGAGTCAGTGTTAGGGCTCAGCCTTTGGGGGGGGATGGTCCTCTTCTCCTAACTATGGACACTTACCATTGCTTATATTATTCCTCTGATGATATGTCTTTTCATTCTTGAACTCTAAACCCTTCTGCTTGTCCTTCAAGGACCAACTGGTCTCCTTCCTCATGTCTTCCACTGATTCTCATTACTACCTTGCCTCATCCCTCTGCTGCAGCTAAATTAATCTGCTTAATGTCCCTGGCCGGCAGCTCATCCGTGCTCACCTCCGCAGCTGTGAAAGTGCTACCTGTTGGGGCAGCTATGTGGCACGGTAGATACAGTACTGGCCCTGGAGTCAGAAGGACCAGAGTTCAAGTCCTGTCTCTGATATTTACTAGCTGTATGACCCTGAGTTTAACCTCAACTGCCTCCAAAAAAGAAAAAAGAAAAAAAAAGAAGAAAAAGATTGTGCTACCTCTCCCCTTTCTTGCTCTCCCCATGCCCGACCTAGCTCTGGAAACAACAATCAAACCTATACTACCATCTCTAGAAAGGATGTCTCTATCAATTGAGCCGTCACTCTACTTGCTATCACTGACTTCCCTCAATCAGTCAATAAACGTTTACCAAGTGCCTTGTTATTGTTTAGTTGTTTTTAGTCAACTCCAACTCTTCATGACCCCATTTGGGGCTTTCTTGGCAAAGACACTGGAGTGGTTTGCCATTTCCTTCTCCAGCCCATTTTACAGATGAGGAAACTGAGGCAAACAGGGTTAAGTGACTTGCCCAGGGCCACACAGCTAGTAAGTGTCGAAAGCTGAATGTGAATTCAGATCTTCCTGACAAAGGTCCGGTATTCTATCCGCTCTGCCACCTAAGTCAGCACCAAACTCCGACTGGAAAACTTCCAGGAACAGAGAACTAATGTACTCTCAGAGAAACCAGTAAGGGCAAACTAAGAAACTTTAGAGTCCACCTAGCTCACTTTACGGATGAGGAAACCAGGGACCAGAGAAAGGAAGTGACTTGTATATTCATCACTTCCTATTTCCTCCTAGCTGCCTTTATGAAATGCCTGCTATGTGCCAGACACTGTGCTAAGTGCTAAAAACAAATACAAAGAATGAAACATGTGGGGCAGCTAGGTGGCACAGTGGATAGAGCTGCAGCCTTGGCGTCAGGAGGATCTGAGTTCAAATCCAGCCTCAAACACTTGACAGCAGCTGTGTGACCCTGGGCAAGTCACTTAACCCCAACTGCCTTACCAAAAAAATAAATAAATAAAAAGAATGAAACAAGCTCCGCTCTTAAGGAGTTTCCAGTCTAATGGGGGAGATGACAGTACATGTATAAATATTATATATTCATGAAGTGAATATATAAAAATAAATAAAAAGTGGGTTACATAAAAGATCATTTTTGGGAAGGAAGACACTAACAGCTGAGGGGGATCAGGACAGATTTCATGCTGAAGGCTTGTCTGTGCTGCAGAAAAGAGGCACTCTATTAAGGAGGTGAGGAAGGAGTGCATCCTAGGCATAGGAGATGACCACTACAAAGGGACGAAGACAAGAGATGGAGGACAAAACCAAGGCCAGATCCAGAGCATAGGAGGGGTGGCATAACGTCCAGGAAGGCTGAAAAGGTAAGTTGGGGCCAGAGAAGAAGGGCTTTAAAAGCTAAAGAGACAAGATGTAGTTTATCCTCTAGGCAACAAGAGCCACTGGGTTGAGTGAATTACATTAGAATGTAGCCCATCAGAGTAGGAGCTATTTTGCTTTTTCCATGAGTGTTTTCAGTGCTTTGCACAATGCCTGGCACATAATAAATGCTAAATAAATGCTTTTTCATTCATTCATTCATTCATTCATTCATTCATTCATTCACTCATTCACCAGAAGGACAATCACTCAACTTGGCATTCTTTTCTTTATACCACCACCTTCAAAACCTGGTTTGAAATTCATTCATTCCTTCAAGAAAACCATCCTGAATTGACCTTTACCCTTTGCTTGTGCTCTTCTTTTACATGTTTTCATTTATGTTCATAACTTGTATGTTGTTTTATAAGTATATCTCTTCTTTTCCTTGTTGGGCTGGTTCTCCCAGGGATTGGGATTGCTTTCTTCTTTGTCCATCCTCCCTTTTTTTAAAATTAGGGCAGTTGGGGTTAAGTGACTTGCCCAGGGTCATACAGCTAGGAAGTGTCAAGTGTTTGGTCTGAGTCCAGATTTGAACTCAGGTCCTCCTGACTTCAGGGCCAGTACTCTATCCACTGTGCCACCTAACTGCCCCTGTCCATCTTCCTTTGAAGTGCCTAGACTGGGGCTTGGTACACAGGGAAGGGTGGAAGGTGGGGTGCTATGTTTGGGGAGCTGCCTGACTTGAATGGTTAGGGACCTCCATTCATTTGGGCCTGGATTCTGACTACTGTGCCATGAAATAGTTTCCCCCACATCCTCTCTCCCTTTCCTTTGTCCTTCTTTGCAAAGCCTCAGAACCCCGAAGAAGGAAGAAAAAAGAGAGCCCGGGATTTTGCCAAAACTCTACCTGGGGCTGAAGCGACATACTGTAGGATGGGAAAACTAGACTAAGACCAGTGGGAGCATGCCCAGGAGTGACTTCTCCTCCTGGTCCATTTCCTTAGCAGAGGGCTTAAGCCCCTTCTGAACCCTCTACTCGAGGTGGGGGAGATGAAGAGGAGAGCCAACATGGGGCCACAGCAAAAAGCCAATTCCTTTGAGGGACAGCCCCAGCCAGAGTCAGGGCTTTCTTTTTCCAGATTCTGGACAGGACAGTGACCACTCTAGCTAGGGAAGTGAGCAATGGGGACCACTAAGAGCCTGGAGGTAGGGTAGTGGTCACCCCAGTGGGGTGGACCTTCTCTGATATTCCCCACCTTTCCCCAAGCCTCCTCCTTTCCTTGGGAGAAGCCCGATCACTTGGCTTCAGATTCATTATTTTGTGGCTGTTCGTGCCTCTGTGTGGGGTATTAATAATTCATACAAATCTGCAAGTAAAATGCCTCATGTCAAAAATAGAAATCCAATTGTCTACAATAAAATTAAAAACATAAAGTCCTCAAATCCAAAGACCCCTCATTGACACAAACTTCTATCGTTTGGAATAAATCCTTCGATGTGTCAAGGAGGTAGGGAAAAATTACCCCCCAAGCCTGTTCTTTCTCCATCCCACACTTTGCTGCATGTTCTGACTTTCTCTTTCTCCCTTCACCTCCTCTGACAACTCAGCACTGCTTTCATTAATGCTGGAGAGCAGCCTTGAAACTCACACTCAGTGTTCACAAGGCTCTTTGTCTCCCTCTGTCTCTGTCTCTGTCCCTGCCCTCTCCCTCCTCCCTCCCCCATCTCATTTCAGCTTGTCCATCTGCTTGCTTGGCTCAAATGTACTCAGCTTGGCTTCTGGGGACCAAGCTCTTGCAAAAAGATGGTCTTCCAAGATTTGCCCCTAGGCTGGGCTGGGAGACATGAGGCATGCAGTTATCTCAACAACCTCTCTCCTACCCCAAGTCCCAGCATCCTCCTTAATCAAGGGCGCGCCTTCAACTCCCTCCTCTGGAAACTGTCCCCCTCTGTATTCATAGCCTCTAAAACTATACTGCTTCTGCTCAGCTAGCTGCAGTCCTCCCCTCACCGGAGAGGTTTCAGGCCCCAGTGGGAAACAGCCTCAGTGTATCATTAGTATCTCCAGGAAAGGGGTAGTACTGGCAAGTACAGAAAAGGGGTAGTTGAATACAGGTCTTCTTCGAAAGCACAAACAGGGATGGAGGAGAGGAGTTCAGGGAAGTCAGTCCTTCTTGGGGGCTGCTTCTGAGCAACCCCAGTGAAGGTTTAGGGGGCACTGGGGAATAGGCGAAAACTCTTGGCTAAAAGGATGTTTGGGCATGACATCAGGGGACAAATGGTGCAGCATGCTTCCTGCCTCTTGACAGAAAGATGGTGGACTACAGGTGTGGAATGTGGCACACATATGTGGGCATATCACAAATGTGCTAATTTGTTGTGGTTGCCTGTATCTATTTGAAGGATGTTCTGCTAGGTAGGAGAAGTTGTTTGAAACTGAAAAGATCATCATGAAAGCATTAAAAATGAGATTTTGAGATTGTGGATTTCACTTATCCAGGGCTTCCCACTGCTGACCTCATCACTACATTGAGTTTAGTACAGACCTCACAGTGGCTGTGTCCCACAGAGGGAATGGACTTCAAAGTAGGAATCTAGCTCTTTCACACCCTTGCTTACCATTTAGCTCTCTATGGGACTTTGTGCTCTGAATAAGAGGGGAGAGAGGAGCTGAAAATTCTCCAGACCCAAATCTTTCCCTGTCCCTTTGTCTATTTCTCTCGTCTCCTCCCCCCTAATCCTGACCCCACTTACCGTCCAGCCAGGGGGACAAGCACACTCCCCTGTGATGTGATGGCAGGTACCTCCATTCTGGCAGGGGCAACGCAGGTCACAGTGTGCCCCATGGCTCCCAGGTGGACACTGCTCCTCACAGCTAAAAAGAAAATGGCTTCATTAATTGTGGGTGAAAAGAGGACCAGACCCACTCCTGCACTCAGTATCAGAGGATGGGACATGTGCGGAGGCAGAGTGAGTAGGCAGGGATGCCCCAGCTGCTTGGCTCTGGTCACTGCGCTATCTTGGGCAACCCTCCCAGCTTCAATGACTCCCTCTATAAAACAGAGATAACCTCTTGACTCTGGAAGTCTTTCAAAATAGTTGCAAGGAAGGAAGCAGTGGGCCCATATCCCTGGAATAGAGGCATTCCATTGCTACTGCAAATGGGTAAATGAAGGTACCTGGGCTAACACTAAGTGTGGGTGGCTGAGAAGGAGGTACATGATTGGTACCAATAGCAACATGTGGCACAAACAACCAGGGGAATGGAGTATTGGCCCAGGAAGTCTTTGTCCCTCAGGGGCCCACATGCCTCGTTTTCTGGAAGTTCCCTGGCTAAGTGCCCTTCACTGCACCTCCCTAGACATTTGGAGGAAGTTAGGATGCCAGGGCTTGGATCTGTCTTCATATAACATGCCTCCTCTGTTATAAACCTGTGAGGTAAGCAGAGCCAGTATGATTATTCCCATCTGGAAGATTCATAAAGTGAGGACCAGGAAGATTAATTTATTTGCCTAAGGGCACATAGCAAATTTAATTTGCCAAACATTTATTAAGCTCCTACTATGAATGAATGATAAAGTATTAAGTGCTTACTATTGATAGGCCCTATGCTAAAATTGGAGGGTAAAAGCATAAGCAAGCAGAGTCTTTCTGTTTTCAAAGAGCTTACATTCTTTAACTATTTTTAAAAATTTTTATTTTTTTAATGTAATATTTTATTTTTGTCTAATTACATGTAAAAATTTTTTTGAGTTCCAAACTCTCTCCCTGCCTTCCCCTGCATCAAGAAGGCAAGCAATTTGATACAGGTTTTATATGTGCAGTTATGCAAAATATATTTCCATGTTAGAAAGAGCTTACATTCGATTGGGGGAATACAATACATAAACTAGAGCTAGAAATGGGGGGCAGTAGGGTTGAGGAATCATGGTTTGGAGCTGTTTCCAAATCTCAGTGTCCAATGGGGATAATAATACTGGCCCTGCTTACCTCACAGGCTTGTAACAGAGAAGGAAAGACCTAGACCCGGGCATGCTGGACACTGCCAAATGCCCAGTGAGGTGGGGGTGGTGGGCAATTTACTGGGGAACTTATAGAAAGCAGGGTGCTGTGGAAGTCAGGTTCCACAGAAGACCAGGCAAAAGCACCTTCTTAGAGCCCAAAGTTTTGGGGGGGGGTGTGTGGGGAGGGGAGGATAAGGAGGATGCAAGTAGCACAGTTTGGGAATGGCTGGTACAATACCAGGCCCAGGAAAACAAACACAGAATAAAAAATAATTCCCATTTTCAAGGACCTTACATTCTCCCAGTGGGAGCAGGGGTACAATACAATATTTATATAAATAAATACAACATAATTTGAAGTGGGAGAGAGGAATAACAGCTAGAGGAATCAGGAAAGGCTTTTGTATCCAAGGTGGCATCTGGCTTAAGCCTTGAAAGAAGAGGGGAGAAGGAGGCAGCTAGGTGGCCCAGTGGATAGGACACCAACCCTGGAGTCAGGAGAACCTGAGTTCTAATCCAGCCTCAGACACATAACACTCACTAGCTGTTTGACTCTGGGCAAGTCACTTAACCCCAACGCCTTGCCAGAAAAAAAAAAAAAAGAAGAAGAAGAGGGGAGGAAGGGTAGGTGGGAGATTGGAATGCCTGGCAACAGCCAATGGACTTGGGTGCCTAGAAAACAGACTGTTTAAAGGACAGGAATGTGACAAGTGTGGAATGAAGGCGGGCTCAGGACCAGATTCCAGAGGTTTTTCTTCTGTGCTACATTGCCCCTCTGGCATCTCAGCCTCCAAGGAGGTGTTTCTAGGGTTTAAATGCAGTCTGACTGTGACTTGCTCATTAACTCCTTGCAGCTAACTTGAGCTGAGAAGGGTGGCGGAGAAAGCTAAGGAAGGCCTTTTCTAGCATCTCCCTTTCCAAAGGCCTCAGGTCATTCCTCATCAGGGTGAAGGAGTCTGCTGGGAACAGGATGGACCTAGAGCAGCATTGGCCACTGGGAACCCCGAGAGGCTGACCAGGAGCTCTGCTTTTCTTTGCAGGGATCCCAAACTCTACAGACCTGATCCTTGGTACTAGGGGTCCACAGCTGGCGCAGGCTCTGCGGAGGCCTCTCAGAGACTGGTTTGGAAATGGTGTAAGGGCAGCCGAGACAAGCAAAAACCCTGCCTACCCCCATGTTTGCTCTTACGACATCTCTCCAGAGCACCTGATCCTTGCCAGTGAGCACTGACACCCCCCCCCCCCCCCCCCCCCCCCCGCGCCCAAGTTGAGACTTGAGGCCGAGGCCAAGGTCAGACAGGAGTCCAAAGTCGAGTCAGAATACCTAGAAAGCTTTCTTTCAGGCTCCATTTGTGTTACTCTCTACAGGAAGCCTTTCTTGATGCCCTCAACTCCTGATCTCCCCTTCCTCCTCAAATTGTCACGTACAAGCCTATCTATATGTTATATCCTTCCCCCTATAAAATAATAAGGTTCTTGAAGATAGGGGTTATTTTTCATTTTGTGTTTGTGCACCTAGGACACAGAATGTCTTGTACCCAGTAGGCACTTAATACATGTGACTCAGATCAAATTGGATTGGTCAGCATCCTGTAACGAGGGGAAGCGATCATCCTTACCCCTCATATGACTGGGCCTCTCCAGGGCAGTTAGAATGGTGGTGCTAGAACACTGCCTCAGGGCTATGGACACACTCAAGGATGCCCAACCCAAAGGGCATTTGCTAGAGAGGGCCATGTCAATCCTACACAGCCAGGGTTTGGAGTAGGAAGTGGCAGGGAGAGGGGATCCAAGGCTGGGAAGACCCACGGGGATCCTTGTGTGTTCAGACTCGGCCCAACAATCGTGCGAGCTCCATGCAGAGCAGCCTTGTAGATGGCTGTTGTTCCACCTTCGTTTTTTGGTTTGGTTTTGTGTTGTTTTCCCAGAAGGACCAATGGCATTGTAATCTAGGGCTGAGGTATGTTTGCAAACAGGCCTGTGGCCCCTGTTGCCCCCATCTGTTCAGACCTCAGAGTGGAAGGATGCTCAAGGCATGGAAGACATGGGTGGCTTGGTCTTGCCTCCTAAAGATGACAGGCTTTGCCATCCACCCCAGAACCTGCACCCGTACAGCCTTTCCATGCATCTGTAGTTCAGCCATCCTCTATGTGTCTTCTTTCCCAATTACAGCATGAGCCCTCTGAGGGGGGAAGGGTACAGTTTCTGCCTTTTTCTTCGTATTCCCAAGACTTATCACAGTACCTAGCACACAGTGGGAGCTTAGTAAATACATTTTTTTTTTTTTAGTAATTCATCTCCCAGCTCCACAGGACTTACTAGACACCGGTATAGCCCGGCGCACAGTGGCACTCTCCAGTCCGAGGGTCACAGGTGGCACCGTTGTGGCATTGACAAGGGAGCTGACAACCCTTGCCGTGGGTCCCTGGCTCGCAGAAGTCCTCACAGCGCCAGCCCCGGTAGCCGTCAGCACACACGCAGGCCCCTGTGATGGGATTGCACAAGGCGCCGTTCTGACACTGGCAGCGATTGCTACAGTGGGGACCCCAGTGGTCACTGTCACAGCCTGAAACAGAAACACAGAGAGTTATGGGACCCTGGGTGAGGCCCTGCCTTGAGAACATATTGGATCATTCCTCTCTGTCTTGGTTTCTGTCCCTCAATCTTGGTCTGTGTCTCTCCTTGCCTTTCAGGCTCAATCCTTTTCTGTCTCCTGCCTCCCTTTTTCTATATATATTTCTCTGCTTTTCTGTCTCTCCCTATTTCTTGGATGATTGAGTCATAGGTCTAAAGTTAGAAGGGACTTCAGAGGTCATAGCATCACAGATTTCAATCTGGAAGAGACTTTATAAGCCATCTAGTCCAATCCCTTTAAATGGGTAAATGCCTTACCTATGGTCACACTTTAAATAGGAAGTAGTAGAGGCCGGATTTGAAATAATGTTCTCTGATTCCAAATCCAGAACTCTTTCCATGACTCTGAGGAAGATGTTCAACCTCTTTGGGCCTCAGCTTCCTCATTTGTACAGAGGGTTAGAATAAATAGCCTTTGAGGTCCCTCCCAGGTCTTTATCTATAATCCAATGTCTATGTCTTAGAATTTCAATCTCCTTCTTCCTTTGAGTCTGTTTCTTTCTCTGTCTTGATCTTCCTTCCTCCTTTTTGAGTTTGCAGGCTTTAGAAGGATAGCGCTAGAAGGGACCTCAGTGATCATCTAACTCCCACTGGACATGTTCCCAATTGTGAAAGTCCTCAGAACTGAACACAAGACTCCGGAGAGGTGGTCTCACCAGGACAGAGCTCTGCAAGATTGTTACCTCCCTCATTCTGGGCACTATGCCTCCCAAAGAAATACAAGATCATGTTTGAAATCTTTGAATGTAATTTAATGCACCTCCAAAATCATTTCCAAGCAGCACTGTTGCAATACAAATTCTAGAGCCCCCTAAAGGGCATGAACAACCTGTCTGGTGATACCTTGGATGCTGAGAGTCTCAGCAGAGTAACCTGAGCTCTCAGCAACTCCTTCATCAGCTCGATTTAGCCCAGCAAACATTAATTACACTCCTACTGTGCGCAAAGCACTGTGCTGGGAGCGGGGGAGACAGAGAAGGTGACAGAAGTCTAGAAGAGATAGGATCCCTTGCTCTTGGAGATTTATGATCAAATAGGGGAAGATGATACACCCACAAACAACCATAATGCAGAATTAAATACACAAATGGACAGAGCCTCAAGTGAAGAGTGAGGGTCAAGAGGAGGAAAGGGTTATTACTGACTGACTCTCAGGGAAGGCTTCTTAAAGGAGCTGGCATTCATAGTGGGATTTATTTTTTAATAATATTTTATTTTAGCCCCAATTATCTAGTAGGCTTTAAAGGATGGGCAGAGATTCAGTGGGTGAAGATGGAGGGCGTTCCAGATATGTGGAGCAAAAGCAGGGAGATGAGAGAGCACAGGTTTGCATGTGAGATAATGAGAATAATATTGTAGTTTGGCTAGAGCAAGAGTTTTTAACCTGGGGTCCATGGATAGATTTCAGAAGGTCCATGAACCCAGATGGGGAAAAAAATTGCATGTTTATTTTCACTAACGTTGGTTTCCTTTGTCATCTTGTGTATTTTATTTTATGCACTTTAAAATGTTATTCTGAGAAGGGGTCCATGGGCTTCACCAGACTGCCTGCCCAAGGGATCCAGGACACACAAAGATGAAGAGCCCCTGGCAGAGTATACGTGGAGGGAAGTACTCAGAGATCAAGCTGGAAATGTAATGTGAGGCCAGATTGTACAAGACTCTGAATAACAATTTGGGATAGAGTTTGGAAATCACTAGAGGGCTTTGAGCAAAGTAAAAACAACCAGATCTAAGCATCCGGAGGATAAATCCTGCTGTGGTGTGAAATGGGGTGGAGGGGGAGAAGTAGACGTGTGGAATCTATTGCAATAGCACAGGCAGTTAGAAATAAGTAGGGGGGTGAAGTTCTGGGAAGCATCAAGGTTTAATGTGACTGGCCAGTGTGGGGCTGAAATGAGATGAAGAAGGAAATCATTAGAACTGAGTCAAGTAGGTAAATTAGGGTTGTCAGAGTTCCTTAATACCTCTCAGCCTTGATTCTCACTGCCTCTCTGGTACCTTGTGCATATCACGTAGAGAAAAGTGGGAAACATTTCCTGGGCGCCGAGAGATAGATTTCCAACAAAAGTGCTGTACTTCACATTTGCAAAATGTTTTTTAACTTTTCAAATTGCTTTCATATTGAATACACAATTTAACAAAGAAGTACAGACGACCCTTTCAGAAAGGACCATCTGCTCTCTGGGTTTCAGTGATACTGTAGGGGGAAGGGCACAGAGAGGGAAATGAAAGGCTTAAGCAATGAAAGATGAGATCTCAGAATCCTTTCTAATCATTCTTGATCTGGTGGCCAGATGTGGAACATCTGAGCTGGAACTGACTTTAGCAATCATCTAGCCCAACCTCCTCATTTCACATGCGGAGAAAATGAGGTTCAGGGAGGGCCATTCACTGGCTGTATAATGACAGGCAAGTCACTACACCTTTCTAAGTCTGTGTCCTTGGAGAGCAATCTCTGTAACACCTATATCATCATCATCATCACACCTGGCATTTACATAGTACTTTAAGGCTGGCAAAGTGATTGATAAATGTCATCTCTTTCTATCCTCACAACAACTCTGGGAGGAGGGGGTATTATTATCACCCCCATTTTACAGATGAGGAAACTGAGGCAGAAAGAGAGGGTAAGTGACTTGTCCAAGGTCCTATAGTTAATAGGTGTCTGAGGCTTCATTTGAACCTCCCTGACTCCAGGCCAAGTATTGCATCTCATGAGCCACCTCACTGGCTCACAGGGTTGTTGTGAAATTCAAATGAGACAAGGCATAAGTGGATTTGCAAACCTGAAAACACTATATAAATGTCAATTGTGGTTGCTATGATTATTTTGGACCCCAAGTCTTGTGGAGTCAGGGCTGACACCCTTTCCACTGTGCACCAATGCTTCCCCTTGGGGCTCCAGTCTCGCCAGCTTTCCTGAGCCCTGGTCAGGTCCCCAAGTTGGGAAGCCATCTCTCTGTTAGCAACCCCACCAATTCAGGTCACTGACATGTTCTGGGCTTTCTGCTTATATTCTTCCATTCTTCATATTCTCACCCTCATCCTGCCACTCCATGTCCCCAGGCTCCCTGCCATTCATAAAAAAATCTAAAATCACTGAACATCAGAGCCAAAAGGGACGTAGTCCAGCCCATGGCAGAGCAGGGATTCCCTAACTACAATAAATAATATCTAGTATTTGTATGACACTTTACAAATATTGTCTCTTACCTTATCCTTACCACAACCCCAGAAAGGAAATGCTATTATTACCCCCATTTTATAGATGAGGAAACTGAGGCAAACTTTCTAGAGTCCCAAAGCTTAGTAAGCATCTGAGGCTGGATTTGAACTCAAGTCTTCCTGATGAAAGGTCTGGCACTCTATCTACTCTGTCACCTAAGTTGGTACCAAGCCCTTTTTTGATAACTTCCAGGAACAGATAACAGACTCTCAGACAAACTACTACAGGCAAACCAAGAAACCATAGAGATTACCTAGTCCACTGGGCTCAAAAGGAAGTGACTTGTACATTCACCACCACCATTCTACTTTAAGATAGCTCTCATCATGAAGAAGTCTTTTCCTTATCACTGTTATTATTATTTCCATTCCAGACCTGGGCTTTTATCAGTGTAGAGGACTCCCAGCAAGCAAATTCCCTCCTGTGATGTCGATGAGCATTTCAGCTGTAAACTATAGTTTTAGCTGTCTGGGGAGGATGGAGAGGTTAGCTGACTTGCCCACAGACATCCAGCTACTAAGTGTTAGAAGTAGGGCGTGAACCCAGGGCTTCTTGCCTCCCAGGCTTACGCTTTCCTCTATGCCTCTCAAGGTAAGATAACACTTCTCTGCAACTTATGTCGGCTGTTTTTAGGTCTGTTAGACCTTCAAATATTATCAGGCAGCGATCCATGAACTTGGGTTTTAAGAATATTTTGGTAACTATTTCAATAGAATAAGTTTTCCTTGTAATCCCATATATTTTATGTTATGCATTTTTAAAAATGCTATTCCGAGAAAGGGTCAGCAGTCTTCATCAGAATGCCAAAGGGGTCCATGACATAAAAGAGGTCAATAATTCTTGCTTTAAAAGAACTCTCTTGGCTCCATCTCCCCCTTGCATTCTTTTCTTCTATGAACTAAGCTTTTCTCTGGTTATTTCAACTGGTCCTTCCATACAAACAGTCCCCAAGGTCCTAGAGTCTCTCCAGCTCTCCCCCACACTCAGGGATGCAGCAGGGCTGTTTACTGGTGGGTGACCCCAAGGGAACCCTGTAGCATCAGCTGGATAGTAAAGGGACCATGGAAGAGAGAAACCCAAGGCAGATGACTTGAGTGACCATGAGGTAACTGTGCCAGCAGCAAAGTACTGAGAAAGAGACAGTGAGGATGAAGGTAAGCTGTGGTCTCTGCTTCCTGCTGGCTACTGTGACTAACTCCCAGTGGTAGACCCAGAATAACTGGACCTCAGTTTCTTCACGTGAGCATGAGAGAGCAGGACCAACCCACCATATCAAAGCATGTCAGCATAATAGTACGGGAAGAGCATTGCACTTGAACCCAAGAGATCGGGATTTGTGGCTTGGTTTTGACACTTTGTGACCTTGGCCAAACCACAAAAACTACCAGAACCTTAGTTTTCTTAACCGTAAAATGGGAATTACAATATTTGTATAACTTGCCTCAGGTTTATTGCAGGGAAAGCATTATGGAAATGTGCATTAATCACAGATTTAGGGCTAGAAAGGAACTTAGAAGTCACATAGTCCAACCTTTCCCTTTTACAGGGTGGAAACTGAAGCCAAGATTACACCACGTAGTAAGTGTAAAAACTGAGATTTGAACCCAGGTTACTGAATCACAAATTCATAATTTTAGGGCCAGAAGTTACCTCAGAGATAACCCAGTCCAAAGATTCTTAACCTATGATCTGTGAACTTGTTT